AATTTTGAAGAATTTTTTTATTTTGTAGCTCTCATTTAGCTCTACAATTTAAAAAAAGTTCATTAAAATCAGACTACTGGATGCTGAGATATTTACAAAAAATGATTTTTTGAGCTCTCAAAAAATGGGTCAATTTGCTAAAAGTGTGACTTTAAACTCATTTTTGTAGATCTTTAGTCAAAAATTTTGCAGTATGCCTCCCAAAGGTAGCAAAAAAACTAGCAACAATCCTAACGGAAGCCCTGTTAAGCTAAAGTTGCTTGTCTAAACCTCTTCAAAATCCTATGATTAGTTTTATCAAAATTTTACTATAGATTTATTATAATTTCGGCAGAGTTTCAGCAGTTTCAGCATTTATAATAAGTTTCGGCAGTTTCGCCTTTCTCCAAAGTTTTGCCAGTTTTTTAATATAACTTTAATATAGTTTCGGCAGAATTTCGCTTTTTGGCAAAACGCCATCTTGCCTAAACCCCTAGGTTTCAGCAAGCAACCTTATGTTAAGCGACAAAAAAAATGGAACAAAACTAAAGATTCTGGTTCTGATGTTTTAAACTCTGACAACGAATAACCCAATGATAAAAATAACCCTTCCAAATACACTCGCACATTCCCAGAAAACCCCATAGAAGAAAACTACGTCACTGACTCTGGAGATAGCAATACCATTCCTTCTTAACAAAATAATACTGATAATTTCTCATCTTTTTCTCTCAAAGACTTTGCTGTGTCAACTGCGCCAGGTTCTGTCGCGTCTGGTGCTGACACGTTTATACATATCCCAAAAGACAAAGAAAACTTCCCCTAGACACGTCTCCTAATAAGGATATTATGGAAACTAATGATACCAATCCGCCTACCATTACTATTCTTAAGCATAATTTTTAGGCCGCTATGGCGTCTAATGCTTCATTGAATTTGTTAAAAAATACCCTACCAATAGAGCAATGATTGATACTGTCAACAATCTCTTTTTGGAAACTTATCACTCCTATACTGGCCATACTCGCATCTCTGATTCTGGTGATCAAAAAAGATTGGTTATCCACTTCAACTCGTCTAAGGAACGCAATGCATGCCTTACCAATCAACATGGTAATCTTGCTGATTTCTAACTTGGATGTACCCCTACTGCCTGCCTATTGAATAATTTTCAAGGTCGTTCACATACCCGAAATCTGGTCGCTCATCTTAAAGAATGGTTTAATATAGGCCAACTACTTAAACAAACTTCAACTAATCACAATAGACAACGCTTCCATTTCCAGTCTAGAGATCATTCTAATTCTTACTAGCATACCCATTCTGCCAATAAACCTGGTCATAATGCTAATTCTCTCCTTCCCAATAATTATCAACCCTCAGGGCAAAATGATTCCACCCAACAAGCTAAATCAAAAGAGTCACTAGACCCATATTTCTCTTTGTACGAATAAGAATTTAGCTACTATAATATATGGGAATATGCGCACTACTGAGTAATAATGTTTCATCCATCTGTTATGGATTACAAGTGCCATTCCTGATCCTTTAGTTTTTGATCATGTTCACTGAAAATTATCGAATAGACTTCTGACTTAATGTCCTGGTTTATAAAATATTCCTGTCGATAGTCTATATTAGTTTCTGATATAGCCATAATATTGATGCCATTTTCTTTAATAAATTCCAATAAATTATGAAGTTTCTGTATAAACGGAATACTAGCAATCCCATCTATATTGTATGCTACAATGTTCAACTCTAAAAACATTGAGTTTTTCGTCTCCTGTTTATTCAAATTCTCTTTAACAAATCTTAGCCTTTGTCTTGCTAAAAATACATTAATACTTTCTTCACTTGTCAATGATTCAACTACTTCTTCTATGTTATCTTGAATCTTTCAAAAATCCCCCTTTTCAAATGTTAGTTCATTTGTTTCTGGGTGTATATTTTCTTTTTCTGCTTTACCACCCGCTTTGTATCTTTTTTGTTGTTGTTGTGACCGTTCATCACTCGTGTGCTGTGTTAAGGACGTGTTATTGTCCTGATTACTCTTGTAAAAATTGTCCAGAGCTTGGCATTTTTCCCTCCCTTCCATTATTACTACGTGTGTAACTTCATTTATCATTTTGTATAACCTTCGCTTTTGTTTTTTACTTAGACTGGCTCAAAGAACTAATATATAAAAATAATAAAAAGTTGATGTTAAAGAATATTAAAAAAAGTTATTTATTATCTGATAAATTAACTGATAAACAAAAAAATAATTAGGTGATATCATCTACATTATTATTCATATCGGCGGATTTGTTCACTTTTGCATAATGCTGAATTTTGAATGATTTTCATAATATCCGTCACCTAAAACCGGTTTGTAATATCATGAAATCACCTGATTAAATATCACTTGACTAAATAATAAGTCGAGTGAAAATCTACATTTGCGAAACTTAAATTATTTAATGTAAAATAGACACAAAAAAATTTATTTCGTTAACAAAAAACCCATTTCTCACCTGCATAATATTTTTAATGTGTATTATTAGAAAGTAAGTATGTTTTAATAAAACAAAAAGTAAAATAAAAATTTATATAGACACAATAGCTATGAATATTTATAAAAGTATTCTAAGACTCATTTAATATTTAAAAAATTTTTTTTTTTTATAATAACTTTCATAAAATTGTCCATTTTTTACATTTTTCAAAACATATTATTAATTTTTATTCATCTTGCTGTAGACAAAATAGGAACTTTTATATTCAAACAAATTGTAAGCATATGTATTATTGATTTTTACACAAAAAAGATTTAGAAGCTATTGTATAAAGTGAGATTTCACAACAGATATTATCAGTATTGCTAAGAATAATATTTATTGTATTTTGGTTTAAAAGAACTATTTATCAAATTTATCAAATTATTGTATTAATAAAACTAAATAAAACTTTTTTTAATGTTCGTCCCAGGTCCTACTGCGCCATATGTAATAATTTGTATAACAAAAGTACCTTAAAATAAACATGTTAATTAAAGGGTGAACAAATCCGCCGATATGTATTATAAATAATAAATTTAATAGATGATATCATCTAAGTGATTTCATTTTAAGTAAAATTAGTTATATAAATCATTAAATAATGTTATTTTAAATTAAGTATACTAAGTATTTTTACTATTCTAATTTAAAGTATTTTGATTTAAATAAAATGAAATTTACTTCTATCTAATACTTTTAAAAATTATAATTAAATAAATAATAAATTTTTCTTTTATTAATAAAATATAATATGAAAATATTAAAACTTTGCATTATTTATTTCTATACTGGTTATTTTTTGGATTTTTTATTTTTAGAAAGAGATCCTTTCACTAGTATTTTGAAAATTCAAGATCTCAAAACAAATCTAAAAATTAACTAAAAAAATATATTGATATTATTGTTTAAAATTATATAATAAAAAATTCAGCTTTAGTAATAATAACATCATCAATTTTGGGATTATATTTGTAAAAAAATAAAATATGATAATGAATTTGCTTTTTCATTAGAATTATTTCCCTTATTGTAAAATAAACCTAAGTTATGAATACTATTTGAAAAAGCTAAATAAATAAGAGTATTAAAACATTATGATATAACTTGAGACTTTGCAATTTTCTTAGTAATACTGATTTTAAATTGATTTTTTATTATAAATCTTAGTTTCTATTGATTTGCTTTTTACAATCTCAATATTAAAAAATAGTTATATTTTTATCTACTCTTATCATCAGCTTTTATTGACTATCATATCAACTTCTTAACAAATTATTTTTTAAACTATACCTTGCTTAATTTTCTAATTAGATATTTTTTTGAATATCTAAAAAAGAAAAGATATCTAAGATAAAATATGCTGATTTAATTAAATTACAGAAGTTCTGCTTTACAATGATTAATCAAAGATAAGTCCTGAATTTGATTTTTAGATTATATCTCAATTTTGGCTTTTTTTTTTTTATTTAAGAAAGTATTTATCTCTTTATTTTTTAATTTGACATTAAATGTGCTGGTCAATTGCAGAGTTAGGTATATATCAACAGTTTCTTTAAAAGTATATTTTAATTTTATAACTTTGGTCTTAAGTTCAATATATTTAATAGTATATCTGTTCTATTTGCTTTTACTCTTTTACAACTTGTCCTAAGTTTATATTCTCAGTTTTAACCTTGACATTCTTTGCCTTAAGTTAAACAATACATTTGTTTTAATAAATATTGCATTTTAATAACTTTTATATAGGTTTAATAGTAAATTATAATTTTTTTAAAATGATGAAAATTACCACATATAAGGTTGTCTGCCTAAACCTCTCCAAAATTCTATGATTAGTTTCTCTAAGATTTTACTATAGTTTTATTATAGTTTTGGCAAAGTTTCAGCAGTTTCGGCATTTATAATAAGTTTCGTCAGGTTTCGTCTTTCTCCAGAGTTTTGCCAACTTTTAATAAGACTTTCATATAGTTTCGGCAAAGTTTCGCTATTTCGGCATTTCGCCAACTTGCCAAAATCCCTTAGTTTCTCCAGCAACCTTAACCACATAACATTCTAACTATAGTTAAATACTAAAAGTATATAACTAAAAATTTTATAATTTAGCTCTGATATACAGAATTTTTTTTATGAAGTTAAATGGCATTTTTATACTAAAATATACCAATTATCAATATTCTAGATAAAAAACTGATTAATAATTTAATATCAGAAAAATAAGTTAATAGTTAATAACATTAATCTTAGTAAAATTTATATAAACTTCTGAAATTCTTAAAATTTGAATATATTGGTTTTTAAATTTTTAAGTTACTTTCTTATAAATGTATAGTCATGACCAAAATATTAGTCATGTAATATCCTATAGAAATAAAATTTTTTGCCTATACTTTCCATTTTTTCATGTATATTTAAAGTCAAAATACTGTATATAGATTTTTTACAGTATTATGCATTGTTATATTACAAGTAAATTGTTCAGATTTAAAAACATGACTTACACCATTTACTATAATATTTATATATATAATTTTCATTACATTTATCACAAATCATATTTTGAAAAACTATAATATAATTTTTTGTATTTGGATTCTGAGATATTCCAAATATTTTGGAAATACTATTATTATTAATTGATGATATTTTAACCTGTTAAAATAAATAATAATAAATAAATATATTATTATATTGAAAAAAAAAATCATAAATTAAACTTATAAAATTTTATACCTCATTTAAAAATTCATTTGTAATATTTTGTAAATTATGAAAACATTTTAAAAATACCTTTTCATCTGGTTTTCTTATATAATCTTTACTATTAAAATAATTATAATATAATGGTCCATCCTTCCATATTGCCAAATATTCTGTAATAAAATCACTTTTACTTATTTCTTTAATATTATAAAATTGATTATATGATATCCATTCAAATATACTATCATTATAAAAACTAATTTTTAAATGCATTTCTTCAATTAAATCATCAATTTTTTTATTTCCACTCATTTGTATTTTAATAATATATTTATTTTTTATAGCTTTTTGATACCAATAAAAAGCTTTTTCTATATTCTTTTTTATTCCTTTACTTTTTTCATAAAAATAACCAAGATTATATTGTGCCTTATTATATTCATTTTCTGCTGCTTTTTGATACCAATAAAAGGCTTTTTCTAAATCCTTTTTAACTCCTTTACCTTTTTCATATAAATGACCAAGATTATATTGTGCATATTTATTATTTTTTTTAGCTGCTTTTTGATACCAATAAAAAGATTTTTCAAAATCTTTTTTTATTCCTTCACCTTTTTCATATAAATAACCAAGATTATTTTGTGCTTCAATATGTTCTTTCTCAGCTGCTTTTTGATACCAATAAAAGGCTTTTTCCATATTTTTTTCTGTTCCTATTCCATTTGAATAATAAATTGCAATTTTAAATATGGCATCTAAATGTTCTTTTTTAGCCGCCTTATTATAAAATTTAAATGCTTTACTTTTATTTAATTCAATTCCTATTCCATTTTCATAACATCTACCCAAATTGTAATATGCAATATTATATTGATTATTAGCAGATTTTTTATACCAATAAAATGCTTTAATTAATTTTTTTTCTGTTCCTTTACCATTTTCATATAGCACTCCAAGTTTATTTTGTGCAATATTATGTCCTTTTATAGCAGCTTTCTTATAAAATTCAAATGCTTCTTTATCATTAATTTCAATTCCTATTCCTTTTGAATAAAAATATCCAAGTTTAAATAATGCATCTAAATGGTCATATTCTGCTGCCATTTTATAAAATTCAAATGCACTACTTTTAATACCTTTTTTAAATTCATAACATAAACCTAAATTATAGTACCCATCTTTGTATCCATTTTCTGCAGATTTTTTATACCAATAAATAGCTTGTTTCAAATTTTTTTCTGTACCATCACCATTTTCATATAATATTCCAAGATTATTTTGTGCAATTTTGTGTTCTTTATTTGCAGCTCTTTCATAATATTTAAATGCTTCATTTTTATTAATAACAATTCCTATTCCATTATAATAACAATTTCCAACTTTAAATATTGCTTCTAAAAATTCATTATCAGCTGCTTGTTTGTAAAGTTCAAATGCTTTATCTTTATTCACTTTACCACCTACTCCATACTCATAATATTTACCTAGATTGTAAATTGCTTCCTTATCTCCTTTTTCCACTTCTTTTTTAACATGAAGAAATGAATTTTTGTCATCTTTTTCCACATTCCTACTATATGTATATAATGTATTAAGTATATCTTTTCCATCAATACTTTCTTTTGCTGATCTTTTAATCCAAAAAATTGCCTTATTTAAATCCTTTTCTATTCCAATACCACTTTTATATAATAAACCAAGCTGATTTTGTGCATAAATGTTTCCTTTATTAGCTGCCTTTTCATAAAATTCAAGTACCTTTTTCTTATTAATTTCAGTTCCTATACCATTAATATAACAGTATCCTAACATTACCATTCCATTAACATAATTTTCTTCAGCTTCTTTAAACAATTGTTCAAAATATTTAAAAGCTTTGACATTACTTTTTTCTATTCCCATTCCATTTAAGTAACAAATGCCAGTATAATACTTTGCTAAAAGATTTGCATTTTTATAGTGAATCACGTTTTTATTGTTGGTCGTACTGTAAAGTAAGTCAAATGCTTTTTTATAAACATCACTTGTTTTAATTACAAAACAATAAAAATAACCAAGTAAAAATATATTATTTGAATTATTTTGATTATTTAATAACCAATCAAGCATGTTCTTTAAATTCATATTTTTACCGGTAATATAATTTTCAATCATTACTTGAACTCGTTTGCTTTCATCAAATGTAAAATTTTTCTCATTTAAAAGAAAATCCATTATTTGATCAACGATAATATTGAAATCACTATCATTAACATCATCTCCATTAATATCATCCTCACTAATATCTTCAATAAAGGTTTCTTTTGTTAAAATATTTCCAATTAAATCCAAAGGATATCCATTTTCTTCGTTGTTAATATTATCAATATTTAATTTTTTAAAATTAGATAAGATACAAATATGTAATTCTATTGAAAAATTCTCTAATAAAATATCGCCTTCATGATCAATATCAACATTATTTTCACTCACATTTAAAGCTTCTAAAATTGAATTGGAACGAAAAATGATAGAATTATGTGACCATTTAATGAATTCAATTAGATCTGCAGGCTCATCATTTATCGGTGGATGATACGTGTTAATAGAAATCATGTGTCCTTGAGATAGTTGAAAAGGAGTTTTAATTTCGTAGTAAGATTTATCTGGTTGCAATAAAATCGATTCATTAATACAGATGATTTGAAATTCTCGATTTTTTGAACTAAATACCGATAATTTTAAAGGCTTTCCAACGATTATCCATAAAATACGGCATTCCGTAATTTTAAAATGCTGAGTTTCTGGATTTTTTAGATTACTTATATTTCTTATAATCGCGGTAAATCCGTTAGAATCATAAAATCTAAATTTTACGGAAAATTCTTTTATTCTTTTTGATGTCGAATTATTCGATATTACTGAACCAAAAACTTCATAATTTTGATCTCTCAACGATGAGTGAATATTTATACGTTTATAATGTTCACTATCTTCATCATTTAAATTTTTCAAATCATCTATTCCAGCCATTATAACCTTGTAATCATCCTCAAAAATGATGTCAATTTGTTTTTGTTGTTCCTGTTGAAGCATATCGTACAAATTAACGATATTATCATATTCAATAATCTCCAAATTTTCATGTTCTTGAATAAAATTGGACAATTTATTAATTTCAATATCTTCATTTTGAGTTGATAAATATGGAATTTCAAAATCTCTTAAATGCAATTCTAAAGATTCAATCGTCATTATTTTTGAATATATTTGATCAAACTTTGTAGAAAATTCTGTTGAAATATATTTAAAAGATTTTCCTAATATAATTTTTTGTGGAAATAGATAACCATAATCGTTAAATACATCTTGTAAAATTTTATATGGGTTTATATGCTTAATTGCTTTTTCTATATCTTGTTTAAATCTTTCTGAAAGTGTAACGTGATCCTGAGGTAAAGAAATTTCATATTGCTCATAATTAATTATAAAATGTGAATCATTCTCATAATTTTTCAATTTTTCATCATTCATATTAATTTTACTATGGAATATACTATTAAGTATATGTGAATTTGAGGAAATCTCTGATTTATTTGATTTATTCGTTGACTTCTTAAATTTTAAACAAAAATTATCTTTTGATTCTAAATAAGGATATTTGATTAAATCAACGACGACTTTTTTGGCATTTTCTATTTTGAAATTTTTATTGACTATTAAACCCTGAAAGAGATTGAAATTATTGATCCATTCGGGTAGTTTGACATACATCGAATCTTTTATCCATTCATTAAAATTCAATCTATTTTTATAATTAGCAACTTTGATCACTTTTTCATCAAAATCTTCAAAGTTATCTTCTACAAGTTGTGTAATATCCTTTAATTTAACAACAGAAATGGGATACAAATAAGAAATTACATCAATCATGTTCTCTTGATAAATTCTTTTCATCCAATTGAGCAACTCTTTGGTAGTTGTTATTTCTTTTCCGTCTGAAGTTTCTATTTTAATTTCAAGTTGCATGTTAATATTGCATAATTGATTTTGATTTTTTACGTATTTTGCCGAATTGTATGCCCAGTTTAAATGCATCTTTAAATGATGAATTTGTATTGAAGTTGCCTTATTAAGATCTTTAATAAATAATTGACCACCAACTAAAACTTTTTCCGAAAAAAAATGACCGTAAAATTCATTTAATTTTCCATCCGTATCCTTATAGTTCAAAAACTTATCCGATAAATTTCCTTCAAAAGTGATTTCAGCAAATGGAAAATTAATGCATACATCGTAAGGTTGAAAGGAAGTTTTGAAATCCGTATCAAAAGAATTGATACTAGTATATACTAAAGGTTGTTCATCATATAAACTCATATCTAATTCACCATCATCATCATAAATCGCTTGTTCACTAGGTTTTATGATATAATCATTCAAGAACAATCCATGATTTAACTTTAATTTTTGAATTATTTCTTGATCTGTTAATTCTCTTTTCTCTTCTACGGTGATCTCATCATCTGTGAATGGATAAATATTTTTTAAATATTTTCAACAAGTGCAAATTAAAAAAATTGTAAATTATTTATTTTTAAGACATTACCTATATTATCAATTTTTAGTTGATTTAAAACTTTGAAAACCTCAAAAATATTTGATCTTTGATCAGGATTTTCATCCCAACATTTTTGATAAAGTTGTTGATATTTTATAGGAGTATTTTCAACAGATTCCTCTCTCAAACCGTTAATAATATCATGTCTTAATTGATTAGAAGGTTTTTGAACCTCTGAATAAGGAGGATATTCACTTGATAATTCCCATAAGAGAATACTTAAGCTATAAATATCAGATTTCATATTAAGTTTATAATTTATTGGATCAAAAAGGTATTTTGGATCGGTATATTCAACTACCGTATGCGTTTTTGTCATTGATGAATCCTCAAATAATTGTGCAGAATGTGCAAGGTCTGCGATCTTTAATATACAATCATTAACTAATATGTTATTTGCGTGCTATTAAAATAACAAATGATACATGGTTAATAGTTAATATAATATATTTAATAACGTAATGATAAAATAAAAATAAAATAATAATAATAATAAAATTACATCATAATGATATGATTAAATCTTTCTTACCAGATTTCTATGAACTATATTCTTAGAGTGTAAGCACATCAATCCTTGAGTAACGTCTAACGCCATGTCAATCTTTTTACTCCAATTTAACTTGGCAAATTGATTTTTTAAATAATCTCTCAAATTTCCTTCATTTGCATACTCCAATACCAAAATATCATTCCCAAATGTATCTATTTTGAAATAAATAATAATAAACATTAAAAATTGTGTTGAATATTTTTAAGTAATTAACATATTATAAACAAACCTTTTGTCGTTCCAAGAAGATGATTGATATTTGGATGATTATTCACTTTACAAATTTGCTTTATCTAAATTAAATACAGTATATTGTTACTAACAATTACATAATAAAATTTATATACAATTTAGCAAAATAAATATTTTACCTCTTGAATAAGCTCTTTAGGATTTAAACTTTTTAAAGCAACTCTAATATTATGTTTAGCATAATCCGCTTTACATACGATGCTAATCTCCCCTTTACTAATTTCGATTATGTTTTGAAATTCATCATAATCGAGATCATTTGTATAGTTTGAACTTGTCATTGAAACAGACGTTTTGAAACCGTGTTTTTTTAGACTTAACGGTAAAAGTTTTCGTCACGATGTGCCGAGATGGATAAAAAAAAAAGTATTACTTACGTTGTACATATTTGGTGATACTTTCCTTTGCATTATCTGATGATTTACGTGATAATCATATTGTTTATTTTTTAAAATTGCATGCGTTTGTCACCGGAGTGACGGTGTCACATCACTCTGCATAGTATTCTGCATAGATATTTTTGGGAATTTTTTCGCGGTAGAAACAAATGATTTTGATTTAAATAAATATATTTGGCTACATAGTGTTATCTACAGTACATGGCTTCGAATTTTTTGTGATAAGTCTTTGTGTCTGGGCTTCTCGTTAAATTAACGAAAAAGTAAAAATTACAAATAATAAAAATATAATAATAATAAAAATAATAATTAGTAATAACTACAACTAACAACAACAACAATAATAATAAAATTTTAATACTGTATGTTAAAATTTAGATAAATCAAGATAAAAAAAGTCAAAATTTTCTTTTTGAAATGATGAACTATTCGAACTATTCTTGCAGAAATCGCATTTTTTCCCACATTTACAAGTAACTTCTTCTAATTTAATTTTGCTTGTAGTATATTTTAAAAAAATTGGACTGGAAATATCTTTTGAATATAAATTAAAATATTTTGGACATTTTTGAATTTGTTCACGAAATTCTTGTTTATCCTTACAATAATTAAATTCTGTAACTTGGTTAGAAATATTAGAAATTTTAAGCGTGTGAAATCTAAAAGGTAAATTAACGTACTTATTCTGCTCTAAATTATAAGAAAATGTAAATACTCCAACATTACTATCTTTTTTTGTATAAAAATAATGTCCAATGATATAATTTCTTTGATTTAAATCGTTTAAAACAGGAACTCCAATAAAATGGTCAGATGGTGATCTTTCAAATAGTTTTGTATTAAAATTACTATAATAATCTTCTTTTGTAACTTTCAATTGAATATCGGAATCTAATTCATTATAATTAATAGAATTAAAATCCCTATAATTTCCGACAATCATGTATTCAATTTCTAAGTTACATTCATATAGTTTAGGTCTAGCTTGTTTACGATGGATAATATATTTTGGCTTTTGACCCTGAGCACAAACGATTTGACAATTAAAGAAATCAACTGTTGTATCAAAAAAACCATAATTTTTCTTATCAAAAATTACTGCAAAAATACTAATATCAGATTTCTCATCCCGAATCATCTTTAAAGTATTTTCTGACATCTTTTCCATTTTGAATTCTCCAATAAATGGTTTTTTACCATTGAATGTACAATTACATGTTTCAATACCTGAATAAAGTATTCTTTCTCCAATAACTGAAAATATTTTTTCACGCAAATATTCATATTTTGGAATGTCAGTTAAAAGTTGAAAGATATTAATACAATTGTTATATTCTATGCATTCCCAATCTTGATGCGATTCTTCCGTATGTTGTGAAGTACTATTTTTTGAATCATTTAAAGAAATCCCCATCCCCACTACCGTGGCGTTAATATCTCCCGAATAACCTTTAGATAAGTTTGTTGTTTTTCCATCTCCTTTTTTATAAATTTTTTCGCCCATAATGATCTCTGTTGGAATAACTTGTCCAAAATCTTCAATGATTTCTTTAAGTTTTTTAGAATTTTTTGGATTTATTGTATCTACAGCACTTTTCACTACTTCTATAAAATCTTTAGTTGGTTCCAAAAATTTTCTAAATTCTAAAGTTTTTTTATAATTATAAGTGGTTTCGTCTGATGAATTTGTCTCAATTCCATCACTTTTATTTCCTGCTATCCTAAATGAAATTGGTATAGTACTAACTATACTACTAGGATCTACGTTAAAAGATAAATCTTTTCCCACTGTTTGATCATCTTTACTTTCATTTTTTACATATAGGTATTTTACATTTGGTTCAGAAACATGACAATCTTTCATTACAAATGCTCTCACGTTCACTCTCTTTAAAATCTTATTAATTCCATAATCTAATTTATTTCTTTTATTCAAAATTTTCCATAAATTTTCTTTTAAAATTAGAACATATGAATTCTCTGAATTTTCGTTTTTACTAACAATATCTTTTAATTTGAAATTGTCTTCTTTTTGGAGTGTTATAGTACCTTTCTTTTCATTATGAAATAGTTTTTCATCCATTTTAATTTCACTCACTTCTGTAAGTTTTTCACGAATTTTTGTTAATTTATCATCCAGTCTCAAATCATTAAACAATATTTTATCTTCTGGTGTTAAATGAACCGATACATTCAATTTCTCTTCATTTTGGCTAAAATTAGATGGTTTTGATTTAAGATATATTTCAAATTTATTTTCCTTTGAATCGTTTCTTTTTTTAACAATATCTTTTAAATAGAATTGATATTCAACTTCTTCCAATATTGTAATATCGTTTTCTTTATCTTCAAATAATTTTTCATCCATTTTAATTACACTTTTTTTTGCAACTTCTTTCCGAATTTTTGTTAATTTATCATCAAGTTTTAATTTAAACGAATATGAATTCTCTGATGATAAATGAACAAATACGTCAACTTCATTTTGGATAAGATAAATTTCAAATTGATTTGAACCATCACTTTTTTTAGCAATACCATTTAATTCAAACTGATCTTCTTCTTCTTCCAATATTATAATACCTTTTTTATCTTCAAATAATTTTTCATTCATTTTAAAAGACTTGGAAGACTTGGCAAGTTCTTTCCGAATTTCTTTCAAATTATCATCAAGCCTCAATTTAAATAGATATTTACCCTCTGATGAATAATGAACTAAGACCTTTGATTTTACTTTATTTGGGTTTAATTTAATAGTAGCCATTTCAAATTGATTTTTTTTTTTTTTTGAAGAAAAAAAATTTACGAATCATATTTATTTATTTATTTATTATGTATGTGTTACAATGACATTGAATACATATTGCATATTTTTTTGTATTACATCAATCAGTTCCTTTATACGGACATATGTTTTTTTTATGTAACAGTAAATAACTGTGCCGAATTGGACAAAAAGATCTAATTATAATATATATATATATATATCTTTCTTAAAAAAAAAAAAATTTTTTAATCTTTTTTCTCAATGTCTTTTACCCTTTCAAGATCAAATAAGGAAGAAGTTAAAGTCAATCAAAGATGTTTGGTCGACAAAATTTTGGCTCGGTAGTTTTTAATCTCTTAATTGTTAAAAATAGAAAATAATCCTAATCTTCATAATCCTAATCTTAATTTTTTTTAACTTACATCTATAGTTATTCTAGTGAATTCGTGATATATCGAGAATTATTACAAAATTCCGGTAAATTTAATTGTCATTTTCCAGCAGCGAATATCACGTGACGGTGGCGCAGTAACTATTTTTAGATTTACCTCTGCGTACCCTTCAAAAATGTCACGAAAATTCACGTGACTGTTTTTTGTCACATGCGCCACACCCTTCCTTGTTTCCATTTTCTATAAGTATCTGAGGGACTAGTTTTTTTCGAGTAAGTAAAAACTTATTCGTCACTCCTCATTCGTCACATAGTTAATTTCTTAATTTATTAATGCCGGCCGTTTCGTGACATTTTTGAAGGGTACGCTGGGGTAATCCTATTTTTTATAACGATAACAATAATTTTGTTAAATTTATTTATTTTTAAAGATGACGCTAAATCAACTATGATCAAGATTTATTTTAAAACTAAAGATCCAAACACAAATACAAATATACTACGGGATGAAATTGTAACAATTTTATTCAAAAATGATGGAGACCATTTTAAACCCCAAGATTGGAATAGGATCAAGGAAATCGCTGTAGGAAATCCTGGTGATCAAAAAGTAAGTTAATTTTAAATTAAATTTGATTGATAATTTGTTCGTTAATTTAATAATTAATTATATACTTATAGATAGGAGCTTTTGGCGTCGGTTTTTATTCAGTGTTTTCGGTTTGTGATGAGCCATCGTAAGAACGAACGCTTTAATTTAAATTTTCGTTGTAATCAAATGCATCTGATTTAATAATATTCGATTATCCGATTATTATTAGTGTAATGTCTGGTGGACAAGGAATGAAGTTTGTTTGGGAGAACAATCAATTAACTACGGAACATGGTGAAATTGACAAAGATGGTGAAACCGTCGACGAAGATCAAAAGTGGACAACGTTCACAATGCACTTGAGAAAGCCTGAAAAAGTAAATATTTATTTAATTCCAAATCTACTATTATATTTATATTGTATTACTAAGCTTTTTTTTCAATTAGTTTCCAAATGTTGAAGAATTTACGCGATTCTTTTCTAATTCATTAGTAAGTTTTCCATAAAAATATGAAATAATGATATTATGACATTTTTCATAATTTCTCATTTATATTTATATTTATATATATATATAGGGATTTACGAACAATATTAAAGAAATAATCGTATACTTTAATGATACACAAGTAATAAAATTATCAAGGGAATCGCAAGGTCAAAAATCGATAGATATTAATTCAGAATTTAATACCTATTCTCCAAATAAGACGTTTAAGCTTAAATCATTAGATATTAGAGATATTCGAATGAACGTCGAGAGATTACTGGTCCAAAAAGAAAATTCAGAGCAGCAATCACTAATCAATGATTATCAAATAGAAGATACTTTCATAGTTCTCAAAATTGCTGATGGAAATTTGGAAATCACAGTTGATGAAGAGTTTTCTGAAGAAATGAAACGAATTACCAAAAAGGACCTACCAAAATATACACCTATATACTTGATGTTTACTGAATTTGATGGAGATTATAATAAAAATATTTCTTCAATTTTTAAAAATTTACTTCCATATCCGAAACAAGGTAGATTATACATTGGTTTTCAAACCCAACAAACAATAGGATGTTTCTCAAATTTGTCAGCTCATGTAATTCCCAGTGTAGAACGCGAGTCAATCGATTTAGTAAACAAACCTTTGAAGGAGTTTAATGAGGGAATATTATATTTAGCAGGAGTATTGTGTAGAATTTTATATGAGAATGAAATGAATAAAATAAAAATGGATCTTAATGTCGAAAATATAGAACATCTTGAAAAACGTGCAGCACATGTTCTAGGACATTTCACGTTTAATGAAAGTACGCCAAAAGAATCTGTTGGTATAATCATCGAAAAACAATTTTTTGATTGTTTGAACCAAAATTTGCCGATTCTATCAACACAAGGGATCCTTCCGATATCTGATGTTCGAATTCCTGATCCAAAAACGGAAGCATTCATTAAAAAAGTTCCGATTGTTCCAAAAATTATATTAGAACACTGTGAGCCTTTTTTCAAAAAAGCGAAGGATATGAGACTTATAGAAGTATTATCTTTTCAAGATGTTTTACGTGAATTGAGAAGTCGATCGTTATCTGAAAAAACTGAAATAATTGCACTTTTGAAGTGGTGGATATCTCATAGGTCAGAGAGTAATAATACTAATTCGGATGAATTTACGCAATTTATGCAATCGGCTATCGTTTGCATTAGAGATAAACCTCAAGCCTTGAATACGATTCAATATGCTTTTGGTTCGAGAGAACAGAATTCGCTAAAAATCAACGACAAGAGTTTAATTTTACCAGGTATAGAAATTCCAATTCCTGATGACGTTTTGCCACATAATATTTCCGAAAATTTTGAAAATCCTGAGATGGAAAAATATTTTCAATGGGATGAGTTACCTTTGATTCATTGGGCAAGATTTATTGTTGACCTCCCTGAATTAGAAATTAATCCTACTTTTGCAGAAACGGTTCATATTACTTTAGCAGCGGGTCTACAAAATCTAGATATTTCCGAAAATGATAAGAATATAATTCGTGGGTTATTTATCTGCAAGAAATGCATTCCAACAACATGTGGCATGAAAAACCCTGATGATGCTTATTTACAGGATGTTGATGCATCTAATTTATTCTCTGACCTACCGAAAATCCAATTTCAAAAATTCTTTGATTCCAAAGATTTAATGTTACTTCTCGGTGTTAATAAAGTGAGAAATTAAGAAATTTTTAGTTATATTTGTGACATTGATAAATTCTTATGATTTATTAATTATGATCAATAGGTTATCAAAGTGGATCGTATCATTGATTATGCTTCAAGTGGAGTAAATTATAATCATATGCAACTCGCAAAATATCTTAGTTCAAAATTAAATAATTTCAATAAAAGTGAATGGGATAGATTAAAGGACGCAAAAATATGGCCCAAATATAATTCAAATGATCAACATTTTATCGCGAGGGAATTATTCGTACCGCTAGACTTATATCGTGAATTTCTTTTACCTACTATTGAATGGACAGAAAAATGGGATCTTAACACTGGAGAAGGTAGATATATTGTTTGATTTTTATAATTTATAATTTATTATTCTTTTAAGTATACTTATAAATTTGAATTTTTCAGCAAAGTTCTTAATTAATTTGGGATTACAACAATATCCAACCCTTTCAGAGATTCTCAAGTTGTCTGCACCACCGACTGAAAAGGAAATTCGCAATAAAGCTTTAAAATCTTTTATTGATAATTTTGAGAAATATTCTCATGAGTATGATCCTGCTACAATAGCCATTGAATTCCTACCTTGTTTCAAGCCAGATGTATATGCTAAACCATCGGAATGTTTTATCAATTTTGATTGCGCAAAAATGGGATTTAATGTTATAGAAAGAGTTTATAAAGATCAAGCTGAAAAGCTCGGTGTAAATCAACATCCTGATAATGAAAGGCTCATTAAACAGCTAACTGAGAATAGACCAAAATCTGAAGTTGAAGCAAAAGACATTTTTGAATATTTAGAAACACGGCAGGATACATTTACAAACTCACAGTTGAATCTCTTAAGTGAATCCGAGTTTATTCCCATTCGTAATAAAGAGCAAAATATTATTCATAAAAGTCCATATAACTGTTTCTTTAAGGGACAAAAAGAAGTGGTAAAAATGTATGAATTTATTATTTTATCTATAAAATATTGTCCTATTTAAATATATCCAAAATTAACAAACTTTTTTTTTTGTATCAGTTTTGGCGAATTCTTTTTATTTATAGACTTTGGGAAGAGCGCCAATAAATTTTTACAAAAATGTGGTGTCAAAAATGAACCACCTGCGGTAAAAATCGCCGAGTTGCTAGTGAAATCGTCACGTGAAGTTTGGGAGTCGGTTGGGAGAGATACAGAAAATTATAAATTTATTTTACAAAAACTTGCTGATGATTTTAATAATATAGAAGAAAATCCGGATTTAATTACAAGGATGAAGGCAGAGCCCATTTTATTAGGTGTGTCCGAAGGAAAAAAATATGACTTGGATTCTGTTGAGAATATTTATATAAATGATGACGTAGTGTATCTAGAAATTTATAATGAACTATCGATGATTCCGAAAGGTTACTCCAAATTTCTTTATGAAGTATGTTAATATTTATATTTGATGATAATTTTTTTTAAATTTTTTTTTTTTTAAAAAAAAAAGTATTAATTATTATGTATTAATTTAGTGTTTGGGGTGTAAATCATTGAGTGAATCTATCAAGGAAAAAGTAGAAGTATCAGGAAATACTCAAGAAACAAAAGAATCTCAAGATTTACAAAAAAAATTGGATGAAAGAGCGTATTTATTCTATTGTGATTATCCTAAAAATTTCATTAGAAGAAATGAAGGATGGCTTAAAAAACTCAAAGTAAAAGGGATAGACAAAATTGAAGCGAAATATTTTATGAAAGCCAAAAATAATTACAAAATACGGCCTGTAACTGCATGTATTCTTGAAGATCAAGAAAAGTGTATATTTAATTTTTATATTACATTAAAACCAGATTATCTTGATATTTCAAAATGTTTAGTCATGTATATCTACAAATCACGTAAATCAAGGGAAATTAATTATCTAGCTATGATGTTAAAGGCACCTCTTGAAGATTTAAAGTATTCTAATAATGATGCTAATCAAGAAAATTCACAATGTGGCGTTGATAAAACAGAATATGACCCTCAAATAGATCAGAATTCAACAAATTATGACTCTCAATTAGAAGATTTATTTAAATCATTAAGAACAATGTTTGAGGACTGCGATCATGATTATATTTACCATTGTTTGAAACAACAAGAAGAAGATAAGTTAATCAATGTTGAAAATCATTTGATGGAAGGAAATTACCCAAAGATTAAAATCCCTGTTAATCCTTACGATCCACCAGTTACTATAAAAGTTGGAAAGACCTTCATGAATGTAATTCAAATATCCCAGCCCAGCTTGGGAAGCTATCTGAATGAAAACCAAACGATTTATTGTAAAAACATTAAAGGTATGGATAATAATTTATAATTTATGAATAATTTTAAAATTATGTATCAATTCTAATATATTTTATTAATTTGATCACAAACTATCATTCAGATTATTCACTAAAGTTTGAGAAATTTTTGGATGGTATAGAGTTTCATATTCCAAAAGATATTGATAAATCTGAGATATTTTCAAGACATCAAAATTCATTAAATCATTTTGCCAAAATAATAAAAGACCTTATTGAAGTCTTTGATTGCGCACCAAAATTTATTCGCATTTTTTATGACAAATCCAATTTAATGGCATTCAATCAGGATCGTGCACTATTCTTTAATTTCAAAATTTACCTTGATCTGTACAAAATTGAACCTACAATTGACGCGATGACATATTGGTACATGGTAATTTGTCATGAATTAGCACACAAATTTGTCAATGATCACAATTCTGAACATGAAGTAAGTATATCTTAAAAAAGCGTTTTCATATTATAACTGTATATCATTAATAATTTTCCTTGCTTTTTTTTTCCTTCAGTATCATCTCACATCTCTTGCGACAAAATATATGAAAAATTTACTAAAATTAATGAATAGAAATAAAATAAATTTAGATATGAAGTAGTTTAAGTGTTTTTGAATACATACTGTATATTATTTATATGTGCATAATGAATAATACTGTAAAAATTCAACAAAAAAATTTTTTCTAATTAATTAAAATTCTTTCGATCTTTTTCTTCAAAATCATTGTTTTAAAGTTTTTTTTTCTTTTTTTCAACAAACATGGTTAAGTAAAGATGTGATCGGGTTTCTGATGATATTAGTTTCGAAAATTTCTGCTATGTACCGTTTTCCGTATTTCACATTCAAATTTTCTTCCTTCTTTAAAATCTTCACTCATCGTGACAAGGAGCAAAAAAAGGTTGAATTCCATTTTGATTTTTTGATTTTTTTGTAGGGAAGAAATTTTACAAATGATCACACCACGTGATTTTTGTTTTTTATTATAAATAAATGAGATCTTTACTTTTTTTTTGTATTATTAAGAAGGCTTCTGATTTTACTTAGAGAATCTTTCTTCTTTACTAAGAAATAGAATTAACATTAAAATCAAAATGAAGTTTACTTTATTGTTCTTCCCTCTCTTAATAACTTTTATTACTGTTGTGTCTGTGAAGTATTGTAGTAAACATTTCTGATTGCCCTTATCCTCTAATGTGTCACAGAGGCAGAAACTAGGTAGGCGGCTTTTTGTAATTTTAATGCATATACTACTTTTAAGTGTGTTAATCTTTTTAACTTAATGTATTGGCATTAGGCTTAATCAAAGTAAACTTGTGAAACTAATATGATGACGCAAATTTTATCTTTCAAGAACATTATTATATAACATTTAAAAAAAAATTTCTGGGCAAATTAGTTCAAAAGCCATTAACTTATTAGTTTGGGCTTTTTTTTCTTTCTTTAATCTTGATTCTTGAGTTTTTTGGCATAATATTCTAAATAATAATTTTTATAAAATAAATTATTATTTTTATAATCAAAGATGATATATTTCAAATAATTTACAGTATATCATTCTATATTATTAAATGTTTAATATTTTTTATTATTAATGCTATTTAAAAATAAACTTAATTGCCGATCCGCCTAAAATCGGCACTGCGTTACTAATAAAATTTGGGGTTAAATTTGCCAATTTTGTGCTAGAACACAAACTTCAAAAAAGGAAAAGGATATCTCATAAATGACATATTGACTATAAAAAAAATCATATGATATACTGAAAAAATACTTGAAAAAAACGAATTTGCAAAAAAAAGTTATACATTCGTATGCAAAATAATGAGTTTACTATGCACGCGTGTCAGATTTACACCTTAAAATATACGAAATTTCAATAATCTGTCTCTTATACACATCTAGATGTGTATAAGAGACAGCCTTAAAATATACGAAATTTCAATATTTCATTTTACTATATTGCATTATTTACAATAAAAACCTATAATTTTTAGCTTCTAAAGTTGTTTTTAAAAGCTTTTTTGAAATATTTTTATTATTAAAAACAAGTGAAAGTTGAAGAAAACCAGTTACAGAAATATAATTATAAAATTTTTTGGCAAATATGACTTGTCATAAAATGAAAGAAAATATTGTTTTTATGATATTTCTGTTTGTAAAATGGGTGAAACCTATTTCACGCACGAGATGCAAAAATTGCTTTTTTTTATTATTGTTATTATTCCCGAATTTTATTAGTAACGCAGTGCCATTTTTAGGCAGATCGGCAATTAAAAGCATATTAAAAACTTGAAATACAATTAAAACAATCATCATCAGTTGTAAATGGTTTTTTAAGTACAAATAAAAAGTACTAATTAAAAATATCAAGACTTATAACTGAGGACCGTATGCATTCTATCTCGAACTAGGTTATTGTACTCATTATCAATTTAATAAATTATTTAAACTCTTGATTAACAAATCTGGTATTCCAAAAAATATATTAGTATCTATCAATGAATATTAATTATGGTACTTCCTTAAGAAGTAATGATTCTTTTATTATTGTATTAAGAGATCCAGACATAATTATTCTAAAAAAATACAAAATTGAAAGCAATAATACAATTAGTAAAAAGAGGAAAATTTAGGTTCTTCTAAAAGTAATTTGTATTAGTATTTTATAAGCTGTAAATTCCTGAATATAACCAATAAATATAATGCAATAATATTTAAATCAAAAATACCAATTATCAATATTATTAAAAGTATTTAAGAAAATAACTATGTTCCAATTAGATATTATTAATTCCACGGTTTTTATCAGAGAAGATAATAAAAATTATTATTATAATTATTTAATTTCAATTACAATTATTTATACAGGACCCAGATATTTTTTATAAAACTCATAACTGACTTTTTGCCAAAAAAGGTTCAATTTGATCTTTTTTTTATTTTCAGTTTTTTATAATTATTTTGATATCCAGTAAGGGTGCTGTCAGATATTACCTAATATTTTAGGAGAAGAGGGGTAATTATAGATCTTAGGTTACATATAATATTATATAAAGAATTATATATATAACATATCTTACCTAGGAGGGGATAGTGTTCTGAACAGATCGAATCAGATCGGATTTAAAATGAATCCGATTTGATCCAAATTCAGATTAAAAAAAGTTGAATTCGATCCGATCTGAATTTGGATCAAAAATAATTAGATCTAATCTGATACAAATTTGAAATGAGCTTGATTCAATTCAGTCTGAATCCAATTCAGATAACGAAAACCAATCTGGTCCAAATCTGATCTGAACAGTGATGGCCAATGACCCAAATGACCTTAAATGACTCAAATGACTGGTTACATGTCATTTGGGTCATTTTAACATGATGACCTAGTCATTTATGTAAACCAATCATTTTTTATTTCAGATTTAGCATTTAGATTTGATAATCATTTCCACAATCAATTATTATTGTACAAACAACAGTTTTATTAAACAAAACTATTAATTTTGTAAATATTTTTCATTAAATGAAATTTTATGTACAATTACATTTCAAATATTATTCTAATTAGAATCTAAATTAATCATTGCATTTACAAAAACAGGAGGTTCCAAACTATTATTAAAAATGCTATAAAGATTCCATTTTGCAAGTAGATCATCAGCAGAATGAATAGTACGATCTACAGCTATAAAATTTGGACCCGTTTCATTACTGTCTGAATGATCAATATTTTCCTCTCCAACCATATCTATTCAATTTTGAATTATACATATCTACTGCTCTGTTGAATTGACAGTATCATCATTTTCAAAGTAAGATATTTTTTCTACATGTTGTAGATGAATATAAGGTTGCTTGTCTAAACCTTTTCAAAATCCTACGATTAGTTTCGTCAAAATTTTACTATAGATTTATTATAGTTTCAGCAGAGTTTCGGCAGTTTTGGCATTTATAATAAGTTTCAGCAGTTTCGCTTTTCTCCAAAGTTTCACCAGTTTTTTAATATAACTTTAATATAATTTCAGCAGAATTTCGCTTTTCGGCAAAACGCCATTTTGCCTAAACTCCTAGGTTTCGGCAAGCAACCTTAGATGAGTATCATCTTTATCACTAACTTGAATAATATCGTTGTCATTATATTCTTCAATATCACTATATCCATTTTCTTCACTATCAGAAGTTTTGTAAGGTTGTATAGGAGTTGCAATATGATTTTTTTTATAAAGTTTTTCAGATTTTTCAATTGCTATCTATTTGTTTTTACGTAAAATATCACTCTTCAATTGACTCATTCCTAGTACTTTTTTATGCTTTTAATAAAATTATAATTAATTTATATGAAACAATCAATTAAATTATAGATATTTTTTACATATATTAAGCCGATTTTGACGTTTTGAATGCAAAAATCCCATATTTAACCAGAGCCTTTCTACTGAAGCTAAATTCACACAAATTCCATATAAGTAAAGAGCAAATTGTGATAATTCAGACGTATCTCCTTTTGCTAAATCCCAAAAATCTACTATATTTCCATTAAACTAATTAAATATTTGCATATCAAAAGAATATACTTTACATTGATATGAAAGATATTCTCGTAAAATGCATTGTGGCACTTTATTAAACCAGATTTGATAATAATAATTAACCCATTAGCTAAAATGTGTATAAAAAAGATTCTGTATATTTTTATTAAAAAGTGAAATACAATATTGTGAATGAAAAACTAGAGATTTTGTAAAAGAGGTTGTTCCCACTGATTTCATCAACGCTAAAGACAGGTGATCATATTATTAGAAAAATTTTCATTTGGATAATCAGAAAATACTTTAATTACCCATCCAAAGGCAAGAACAATTTCATAAAGTCATGCTATATCTTTTTGTAATTTATTTAATGCAGTACAAAGTGGTAAAATTAAATTTTGGAGTTTATATAGATTAATCCAAAAATTTGGATCATTAATAATGGCAATTATATCAGGAAAAAGAAATTTTTTTGTAGAATTTGATATATGCCTTTGTCTTTGACTCTTTGTGAACCACTTTACAATATGGAAGGACCTTCAAGACGTTCAGGCACAAATTTTGTAGCTAATATCTAATTAAAAAATAAAAATTAACATTAAATAAATTATTTTAAACTTAATATCAAGAAATTAGAAATGCAAAATTTCTAAAAAATAAATTACCTTAAGTGCTGCTTCTGTTTTTAAAATACTATTAAAGCAAAAATAATAACTATTCTATCGTGTTTACAAGAACTTGTTAAAGCTATTGTTTTACCATATAATGACTTTTGCTCATTTCTCAGTAAACCCATAAAATAAGCTGATGAATGAAACTAACTGACAATTTTAACAGCTTTTGTAGAAGTTTGTTGATAAACACTCAAAATTTCTCTTACAATTAAATTCATTTGATGAGCTATACAAGGTAGAAAAATCTTATTAGAATATTCTACTTGCATGATTCTCCTATTAAAATAAATAAAAATAAATTAAATATAAATAAAAATATTATTTTAAGCTAACGGAAACTCTTTCTTGTACCGTTCACGTCCATTTTTCACATAAGAAATAATATGCTTTTTTCTCGTTAAGTTACTAGAAAAATAGCACTTCAGTATTAAGACAAAAGTGTTCCTTGGTTTAAACAACACACTTTTTATTATCATTCTTATCAGTTCGAACAAGTTCACAAGGGCTTAATA